GCCGCAGGCGTCGGCGCTTAGTGCGCTTGGGGATAGGAAGCAGACAGAATAAGCGCGCGTCTGAAGACGCTCGGAAAATGAGAGGTCGTAGGATATTCTGCTAAAGCGGCAGGTCTGTAAACAACATTTGCTTCATTTAATAAACATGCACCTGGTTCTGACGCTAGCTGCAGGAAAAGCATGAGCTCCACGTGGGGGGGCCGCCGTATAAAGGATAGAAGGCTAGAGTAGCCGTCGAGACCCATCTGGTAAACTTTAACCAGAGAGAAGAGAGCAAATCAGCGCCACGTTAAAGATTCTCAGCTGGATTGCCGCCCTGCTCTGTGAGTATGGCGCATGACCGGTGTGCGCGTTAAAGCCGTGTATTTTAGTTTATCGTGTGGTATGTGTTATTTTACTGCTGATTTTATTTTATTCGTATTGTATTGAGGTTCATTCGTCAGTTTAGTGTTATTTGTGGATTGTATTTTCTGCAGGGTCAGAAGTCGGTCGAGCTATGTGTGCCTGGCTAGGAGTGCCGGATCGGTGGTCAGCCGAGGCTCACGAGCAACCTGCAGAGAGGGCGCGGGGCTGCAAGCAATGCCTCGCGGTGCCTGCAGCCGCGCGAGAGCGACGAGCGAGCGAGGCGGCGCGCGCGAGCGGCGAGCGCGCGCTAGGAGTTGTTGAGTGAGATAACGGTGGGAGCGTCCAGCTAATTTCTTTCTATTTTTTTTTTAGTAGAGATGGGGTCTCGATCTTGCTCAGGCTGCTCTTAAACTCCTGAGCTCAAACGATCTGCCCGCCTCGGCCTCCCAGAGTGCTAGGTTTACAGGCATGAGCCACCATACCTGGATTTAAGTGCCATTATTATCATTTTTTAACTGTTACCATATAAACCTATCTCCTTGGTATGTTATCTCCAGGTCAGTTTTTTTTTGGTTTTTTTTGAGAGACAGAGTCTCGCTCTGCTGCCTGGGCTAAATAAAGTGCCCTGGCGTCTGCCTAGTTCACAGCAGCCTCAAACTCCTGGGCTCAAGCGATCCTTCTGCCTCAGTCTCCCGAGTAGCTGGTACTACAGACACGCGCCACCATGCCCTGCTAATTTTTTCTATATGTTTTCAGTTGGCCAATTAATTTCTTTTCTATTTTTTTAGTAGAGACAGGGTCTCGATTTTGCTCAGGCTGGTGTCAAACTCCTGGCCTTGAGCACTCTGCTCACCTCGGCCTCCCAGAGTGCTAGGATTACAGGTGTGAGCCACCGCGCCCGGCCCAGATCAGTTTTAAGCCGAAGCACATTTCTATGCTGACTCCCATCACCATCCTGCTGCCGTGAGCAGGAGGCACGCAACCTGGTTTTAATCTCAGGTCACACAAATTTGTTGCCCTCAAAATCACAGAATATATTTGCAAGAAGAAATGGTTGCTTTCCCCCTGATCATTAAAGTATTCATTTGCAAACTGCCTATATTACTAGTAAAAACAGATGTTGGGTGTTCCAGGTGATCCATGCAGTTTAAGCAAATAATTTTTCATTGATTTCCCTTCAGTTTAGGGTTGGCTCCTTTGGTTAACAGTTTGTCCCAAATAAGGGTCCAGAGAATAACTCACCCAGGATCCCAAGCTCTGGTACCGAGGTAAGTTCTGGAATACAACCCAACTGGAGGTCTGGCCCTGACTCTAAAGATCCCTTCCAGAGCTGGAAAGCAATCCTGCATTTCATGCACTAGAAACATAAACCCTATGCTTTCTGCAACCACAAGACAAATTTATGTACTCTTCGCTTACTTTTTTAAAAAAGATTTCTCATAGGCCAGGCGCGGTGGCTCATGCCTGTAATCCTAGCACTCTGGGAGGCCGAGGCGGGAGGATTGCTCAAGGTCAGGAGTTCAAAACCAGCCTGAGCAAGAGTGAGACCTGCTCTACTATAAATAGAAAGAATTAATTGGCCAACTAACTATATATATAGAAAAAATTAGCCAGGCATGGTAGCGCATGCCTGTAGTCCAGCTACTTGGGAGCTGAGGCAGTAGGGATGCTTGCTTGAGCCCAGGAGTTTGAAGTTGCTATGAGCTAGGCAGACGCCACGGCACTCACATCTAGCCTGGGCAACAAAGTGAGGCTCTGTCTCAAAAAAAAAAAAAAAGATTTCTCATAATATTACATTTTTTTAATAGTTTTTTTGAATAAAGGAATATATGCTTAAGTCCAACAATATGACAAGATGTAGATGAAAGTAAAAGGCCCCTTTTCTTCATCTCCATGCCTACTTCTATAGTCTTACTTACCAGCATCAGCTAAGATATAAATACATTTTATTTAATACATATATATATATATTACTATATATAATTTTTTTTTTTTTTTGAGACAGAGTCTCACTTGTTGACCAGGCTAGAGTGAGTGCCGTGGCGTCAGCCTAGCTCACAGCAACCTCAAACTCCTGGGCTCAAGCGATCCTCCTGCCTCAACCTCCCGAGTAGCTGGGACTACAGGCATGTGCCCATGCCTGTGCTAATTTTAATATTATTAGTTGCCAATTAATTTCTTTCTATTTATAGTAGAGACGGGGTCTTGCTCTTGCTCAGGCTGGTTTCGAACTCCTGACCTCGAGCAATCCGCCCGCCTCAGCCTCCCGAGTGCTAGGATTACAGCATGAGCCACCGCGCCGGCTTCATATATTTTAATTTTAGCATATTATGGGGGTACAAAGTGTTAAGGTTACATATATTGCCCATGCCCCTCCCCCTTAATAAAGCTTCAAGCGTTGTCCATCCTCAAATGTTGCACATCTTACTCGTTGTGGCTGTATACACCCCATCCCCTCTCCCCTCCAACTATATACATTTTTAACACTATTAGAACATACTATATTTAATGTTTTTTATTTTAAAATTTTAATAATTAATTTTGCTTTTCTTTTTTTCCCCTTCTTGCAGCTTCCTGACATAGAAATGTTTTTTTTATATACCTCATTCTTTTATTAGATACATACCATTCCAAAATATGAATTAACATAATTACATAGTGTTATTTTAATGATGGTCTTATAGTTGTTTTTAGTTTTGGTCGTTTTTTTTGCTATACAAATAATACTATAATAAACATCTGTGGGTGTGTTTGTGTATGTATGTAATCATTCTGTATACTTATGAAAGGATATCTGTGACATAAATCCTACAGTAGAAGTGCAGGGTCAATGTGTGGGCTCATTTTTATTTTCATAAATATAACCAAATGCCCTCAAAAAAGTTTGGATATCGTAAATGTTTTACTCTTTGTCAGTTTGATAGTGACATTTTATTTTTGTTATAATTTACATTTATTTAGGAGTGAAATTGAGCATCCTTTCATATATCAGCCAAATGAATTTTTTTCTGGAACTGCCCATATACTGCATGCAGTGCCTATTTTTGTATTAAGTCGAATTAAGTTATTCACATGTAAAAGTACGTTGTATTATATATTAAGGAAAATGGCCCTTTCTTTGTCTGGTCATATGTTACAAATTCTCCTTCCCCCCCAGTTTGTGTTTGCCATTTGACTTTATTGATGTATTTTTAAAATCATAACAACTTTTTAATATTTATGATAAACTTAATCTGGTTTTGTGTTAGCCATCTAAAAAGGGGCTTCTTTATTTTAAGAATAAAAATTCACTGTTTCTTCTAGTATTTTCATGATTTTAAAATAATTTTTTATTTTGGAGTACTTTAGGTTTATAGAAAATATGGGATAATAATACAGAACATAGTATTTTAGGGCCTAAACTTTGATCCATCTGAAATCTGTTAGAAAGACTACAGTGAGAGATCAAACTTCATTTTTATTTTATATAATTCACTGAATGATTATTTTAAAAAGTATTAAATGATAATAAGAACATTTTAAAACATGATTTAAGTCAATTTTGTTTCAAAATACTTGATGAATACAGAGGTACACAAAAACCAGGGTCTGTAACTGTGGGGAGAGTGGCTTCAGAAAGTTCCAAAACCAGGTGGAGGTTAATGGAGTCACAAATTAGAAATAAAATATTGTGATAGTTAATTTTATGTATCAATCTGGCTATGCCATGCTGCCCAGCGTTTGGTCAAAACTAGTCTAGATATTGCTGTTAAGGTATAGATATGACTAGCAATCAGTCTGAACAAAGCAGATTACCTGCCATGATGTGGGTGGGCCTCATCCAATCAGTTGAAGGACATAAGAGCAAACACTAAGGTTTCCTGAAGAAGCAGTTCTCAAGACTAACGTAGAAACTCCAGCCGCCTGCATTTCTAGATTGCTGGCCTGCCCTTACAGATTTTGGATATTGCTCGTTCTCACAATTATGTGAGCCAATTCCTTAAAAATCAATCTCTCTCTCTCTCATAGTATATAAACACACACAACACACACACACACAACGTATGTATACACTATTGGTTCTTTTTCTCTGGAAAGCCCTAATACAATTACAGTCCTTTTAAAAATTCTCAGAATTAGATGTCCTTCTGCACCTTCTGCATGATATCCAAGAGTAAAATGACTTGCCAAGTGGCTGACACAACAGAATGTAGAGGCAGAAACAGAAGGGAGAAGGGCATCCCATACCTTCACGGTACAGCCATAGTGCTGGAAAGGACAGTCTTGTTCGGCTTCAGGACATACAGCAAGGTTTTCTCCACCTAGGAAACGGACAGCCTCAAGCTCTAGAAGCTCATCACCTACACCCCAGCTGCTGGGTATCGGTATGGCTGCAGCAAGTGGGCCGGGCGGGGGGTGGGCGGTTGGGAAGAAGGGAGGGGCGCAGAGGGGGAGAAATGCCTGGAGAGGGAGAGCTATGGTGCAAACTCGGGAAAGCTCACAGGGACAAGGGGAGGGAAACAGAGACACCGTTATTCACGGGTGTTCATTTGCAGCCTCTTGCCTGTGGGATTTTATCACGCACAGGCCACAATGATTACTAAAACCGTATCTGACATGCTAATAAACTCTACAGAGAGCATTATTTACAGTACCCTGTTCGGAATAAACTGAACACGTTGGGACAAGATACCGGGTACGCGGACACATGTTTTCCTCGTGATTCTGAAACAGAGAGAAGCGCGATAAAACAAAGCCAAGGGTTCTCGTTTAGGGCTGCAGCGACTACACTGACGTCTCTTTGGGGATGTATGTCATGTGGCTTACTCTCTACGGCAAGTCATGGCCTCAGTTCTAAAAAGGATGAACACCCTGGGAGGCCGAGGCGGGCGGAGGGTTGCTCGAGGTCAGGAGTTCGAAACCAGCCTGAGCAAGAGGAGACCCGTCTCTACTATAAATAGAAAGAAATTAATTGGACGCAGCTAATATATATAAAAAAAAATTAGCGGGCCATGGTAGGCACATGCCTGTGGGTCAGCTACTCGGGAGGTGAGGCAGGAGGATGGCTGGCCAGGAGTTTGAGGTTGCTGGAGCTAGGCTGACGCCACGGCGCTCACTCTAGCCTGGGGAACAAAGCGAGACTCTGTCTCAAAAAAAAATTAAAAAATAAAAAGGGTTGAAGATGTCTGTTTTCTTGGCATAAATGAATTCAATTTAAAAAATTGAATTTTCCAATTATTCCAAAAGCAGGTGAGAGAGCACAGGACTCAAAGAAGGCGGATTGGGGAATCATGGCCACGGCTCCTTCACTCATGCGAGAGGTGGCCACGCTCTCTTTCCACGTCCCCACCCCGTCTCTCCAGGCAGGTCACAGAATCAGGAGGGCAGGCTTTGTCACCGCCTCCCTGACACCAGCACCTGGCATCGCTCCTTCCACCACCGCACACGGCAGGTGCTCCATCGCATTTTTGCCAGTGGATACATGGAGTTCTGCCAGCAGAAAGCTTTTAAGGTTTTCGCAGAACTTCTCTCAGACAAACTAATTCTTTAGACCTGATTCTGTACAAAAATAAACGCAGAGAGGTTCTTCTGGTATCCTACACCTGATTTGCTGTGACCACTCAGGCAGAATTTAGCCTCATAAAGACGACTGTTGTGTGTGTGTATATATATGTGTGTGTGTGTGTGTGTTTTGGGTTTTTTTTTTTTTTTACCTGTAGATTGATGACTACCACATCCTTTTTACAATAAAGACATTTTTCCTCTCGGAACTGACAGTGCGCGCTCAGATGCTCTTTCAGATCTTTCCGCAGGACTGGCTCCCGACAGTGCTCGTTAGAGCACTGCACAGCTTGAAATGAGCACTGCTGAAGATGGTCCTGCAACAGACAGGGGCAGCAGGAGGGAGGGAGGATGAGCAGGGGGCCGCGGGGTGGGGGGTGGGGCAGCCTCTCAGGGGAGCAGAGGGTGTGGGGAGGGCTGCTCCGACTGGAGGCCGTGGAGGCCAGCCTTGTGTGGAAGGAATCAGGAGGACAGGGATGATGGGGAAAGAGGTGTATGCCACGCTTTTTTTTTAGATGATCCAGCAACATACTCTTATTCTCAGGTTAGTTCTTGAATATTTTCCTTAGTTTGCCAGCCTTTCAAGCACATTTTTATTTCTTCTGTGCTCTCTCTATCCCTATTTTCCGGCACCAAGAACTGGTCTCCACACAGCAGGTGGCAAAAGACAGGACGCAGGAAAAATGAAGGAAGGAGGGAAGGTCATACCCTAACTCAATGAGGGAAGGGAAAGGATCAAGAGAAAGAAAGAGGAAGGGAGAGGTAACTAGTGCCCAAAGTAGTGAAGGAAAGGAGACAGAGGAAATACAGGCCCGAGAGAAGCTAGGGATGGTCAGACTTGTAAAATCAGGAAATATTCTGAACCAGAATATCAGAAAACAGTGACATGGACAGTGTTCATTCCAGGGCTCTTCACATTCTAGATTTTTCAAAAGCAGGCATATCTCAATCAAAACCTTACTGTTGACACTGACACATTACCAAAATCTTAGTGAACTTGTCTCCCCGCAAGATCCTTTAAAACAGGGTTGGCAAGTTCAGGCTCACAGGCCAAATCTGGCCTACCGCTTATTTTTATAAATAAAATTTTATTGGAGAATAGCCATGTGTACTCCTTCACAAACTGTCCATAGCTGCTTTCCCTCTGAAATGGGAGAGCTAAGTGATGGTGACCGAGACTGTGTATAGCCTGCAAAGCCTAACATATTTACTATCTTGTGCTTTTTTTTTTTTTAACTGTCTTGCTCTTAACAGAAAGAGTTTGCTGGCTCCTTCTCTGAACGAAAAGAGAGCAAACAGTTTTTTGACAGTGAGATAAATGAATATTATAGCTGTTCTTCGCCTCTGGTAGTAAGAAACAAATGGTGGTGAAAGTTGAAATCCACATCTTCTCTAAAATTCATTGCTGTTACTACTCCTTAACTCTCACCCAGACAGTCAACACTCATCAAAACTCTGCTTCTTCTAATACCCTACACTTTATCTTAGGGGAAGGGAGACAAGGATGAGGGCAGATATAAAAGAAACAGGTGGAAAGAAACCAGCCCTTGTTCTCTAGAAGCCTGGGATCTGGTCACTAAAGCTGTTCCATGGTCCATTTGAATCTCATTTCCTTTGCAGGCACAGTGACAACAAAGTTGGAAAAGAGCCTTGCTCTGGGACCCGACTATTTAAAACAAGTGCCAAAAGATACCCGAAAACACAAAGAAGTTCCATGAACCTCCAACAAAATCCCTGGGTTAACAAAGAAATCATTTACACATTTATAACCTCGCCTAAGGGATCTGGAGGTATGTGAGAAAAGAATGAATCATCTGAGATACATGTTCCTAAATGTGTGGGTGTGAAGGGGAAATTTCAGCAGCCTCCAAGCGAATCTCTAATCTCCCTGGAAGATTAGAGACGCCTGAGTTTTATCCATTCCTAGTGTGATCAAAACTGATACGGGCCTGCCGGGCAGAGCCACATGTCTAGCTTCCCATTTTAACAACCTTCCCCAGCTAGACAGAAGAGCAGCTTCAGGAGTTTCATTTGAAAGGCACTCAACTCCCTTCACCTACGCTTCCCCACACCTTGCTGGCTTGCATCTCCTATCAAAGCTTCCCCTTTAAATTACATCCTATCTCTGTCCTGGTCTGAGTGATCCGCCTTAGATCGTAATCCCTGCCAGGCCGAGGCTGGGGCCCACAGCTGCTGGGAAACACCCAGCACGGCACCAGCTGGAAGAGCAAATGCTTTCAGGCAGGGACTGTCACAGCTGTGTCTTTCTGCAGTCATTCATTCCCTGGCTCCCACCCTAGGCACCCCAAATCCTTCACAGTTCCTCCCAAATGACATGTCCTTGCCTGGCTGTTCTTTTTGTCCAGCATGTCCCACACCCTCTCTTTTGGCTCAGTGATCCCTAACCCACAATTTAAGGTCTAGCAGACATAGCATAGCATGTCTTCCACGCGCTCTGTACAAAATGACCCTCTTACTCACACCTCGGCCCCTGTGTGCTGCAGCACGGTAGCTAACTCATCGCTAGCAGGGAATCCTTGTACCTTACTTAGCCCGGTAACTGTCACATAAAGGGTTTAATGGGCATCACTGGAAAAATGGCAAAGGCATTTATTGTTCACGAGTAATACCAACCTGGTAACGTCCCAGAATAATCTTGGCATTACATCCCGGAGCGTTTTTGCAATATACGTATAAATTGAGGACTTCCCTTTTGCAGCAATTGTCTTTAAACACCTAAAAGAGAAACATAATAGTTCTCATGCACTCCAAAGCTTTACAGCAATGTGGATCAAAGTATTACTAGTTTGGTCTTCAAGTATACCTCAAAAGTTGAGTGGAAACTTCCAGATAGTGGTTAGAATGGAAATATCACACTCACCACCACACTAAAAAAAGAAAACGGCTGTCTCAGATACATATATCTAACAAGCCACCAAACATACAAGCCAGGGCCCAGAGCAGCAGGCTGCAGCTAGGAAAATCTCATGATGAACTTGACCCCACGTGCTCAGAGGTGAGGAGGTGGGGTATGGCCAAAGTGATGCTTTCAGCTTCCTGTCCCAGGGTAAATGTTTATATTACTCATCAAATAGTGTCTCTGAAGCTGTGCTGGCTTGCTATTTCAGCACTAACCAGAGGTTGGCAAACTTTCTCCATAAAGACTCAGACAGTAACTATTTTCAGTTTTGCAAGCCCCACTGCAACCATTTCTGTTACCACATTTCAACTCTGCCCTATACAATACTTTCATGAATGGGCACAGCTGTGTTCTAATAAAACATTATTTATTGTGGGGGGGGGTAGAAGAAAACATTATTTATGGACACTGCAATTTGATTTTCACATGCTACAAAACATTGCCGTTATTCTTTTGTTTAAAATAATTTTCTATTTTCAAATAGTTTAAAACTTACAAGAAGTTCCAAAAGTGTAAGGATTTCTGGGTATCCTTCTTTTGATTTTTTTCAACCACTTAAAAATGTAAAAACCATTTACTTAGCTCACAGGCCATATAAACACAGGTGGCAGACTGGATTTGTCCCAAGATTGTAGTATGACCACCCCCGGATAGTGGGTCAGACACACACTGTGCAAAGCACAGCCCTCTGCTAGGCATTTACAAAACACATCACAAGGAACACAGAGAAGGAACATGTACATCGGAGTAGGTGCTCATGGAAAGCTTCCTAGAGGAGGTGATTAGCTGTATGTCCTGTAACAGAATTTTTTTTTTTGAGACAGAGTCTTGCTTTGTTGCCCAGGCCAGAGTGCCGTGGCATCAGCCTAGCTCACAGCAACCTCAAACTCCTGGGCTCAAGCAATCCTCCTGCCTCAGCCTCCCGAGTTGCTGGGACTACAGGCATGCACCACCATGCCCAGCTAATTTTTTCTATATATATTAGTTGGCTAATTATTTTCTTTCTATTTATAGTAGAGACAGGGTCACGCTCTTGCTCAGGCTGGTTTCGAACTCCTGACCTCGAGCAATCCGCCTGCCTCTGCCTCCCAGAGTGCTAGAATTACAGGCGTGAGCCACCACGCCTGGCCCCTGTAACAGAATTTTAAAGGAAGAAAACTGAACTTAAAGGGAAGTTATAAGGGAGAAAATCTTCACGACCATGAAATAGGCAATGGTTTCTTACATACAACACCAAAGGAACAAGCAACCAAAAAAAGAAAAAAAAAAAAAATTGGTTGAGTTAGACTTCAACAAAATGAAAAACTTGTGCTTCAAATGACACCATCAAGAAAGTGAAAAGATAAACCCATGGAATGGTAGAAAAATATTTGCAAATCATGTAACTAAGAGACTTATAACCAGAATACATAAATAACTCTTATAATTCAACAAAGATAAATAACCCAATCTTAAAAGGAACTGAATAGAAATTTCTACAAAGAAGATATACAAATAGCCAATAAGCACATGAAAAGATGCTCAACCTCATTAACCATCAGGGAAATGCAAATCAAAGCCATAATGAAATACCACTTTACACCCACCTGGAAGGAAGGCTATAATCAAAAAAGACTGAGAATAATAATTTTTGATGAGGATTTGGAGAACGTAGAACCCTCATACATTGCTGGCAGGAACGTGAACTGGTACAGCTGCTCTGGAAAACAGTCTGGCGGTTCTCAGAATGTGAAACACAGAGATACCATCTGACTCAGTAATTCCACTCTCAGGTACATACTCAAGAAAAATGAGGTCGGGCACGGTGGCTCACGCCAGTAATCCTAGAACTCTGGGAGGCCGAGACGGGCGGATCGCTCAAGGTCAGGAGTTCGAAACCAGCCTGAGCAAGAGCGAGACCCCGTCTCTACTAAAAATAGAAAGAAATCAATTGGCCAACTAAAAATATATAGAAAATATCAGCTGGGCATGGTGGCGCATGCCTATAGTCCCAGCTACTTGGGAGGCTGAGGCAGAAGGATCGCTTGAGCCCAGGAATTTTGAAGTTGCTGTGAGCTAGGCTGACGCCACAGCACTCTAGCTCTGGCAACAGAGTGAGACTCTGTCTCAAAAAAAAAAAAAATGAAAACGTAGGTCCATGTAAAAACTTGTACATGAATATTCATAGCAACATTATTCATAACTGCCCCAAAGTGGAAACAAATGTCCATTAACTGATGAATGAGTAAGTACAATGTGGTAGATCCATACAAAGGGATGGTCGTCAGCAATAGAAAGCAATGAATAGAAAAGGTTCATTCTACAATGCATATAAACCTTGAAAACATTACACTAAGTTAAAGAAGCCAGCCACAAAAAGCCACGTAGTGTATGATTCCAGTTATATGAAATATCTAGGATAGGCAAATCCACAGAAGCAGAAACTAGATCAGTGGTTGCCAGGGGCTGGGGAGAGGGGCAAAAGTGAGTGACTGCCCATTGGGTCCCGGGCTTCTTCTTGGGGTGATGGCAACACTCTAACACTAGATAGTGGTGATGGCCATACAACTCTGTGAATATACTAAAACTCACTGAATTGCACGCTTTAAAAGGTACATTTTATGATAGGTGAAATAGAAGTACATCTCAATAAAGCTATTATTAAACATTATCATCATAATAAGAGGAAATTTTAGGGATTAACCAGATGACAAAGTGAATTCCAGGGAACAGCATGCTCCATTTCTGTTGCAGCAGCAAAACGTGATTGGAGCTATTTGGAGGACGCGGGAGAGGAGACCTGAGGGTGGGGGCGAGAGTGTGGCCAGCGAAGACCCAAAGAAGCCCCTCAAACAGGGGCAGGAGTAGGGTCTGACCTGACGCCCCAGCAGAGGAATATGGATTCCAAGAAAGGTTCCCCTTGACCACTCTCCTGCTCCAACCTCAATGTCCAATTCAACCCAGGACACTGGCTGCTTCTCCATCACCCAGAGAGCTGTTAAAAAACGAAAGCAGTAACTTTCTTACCTCGTGAGATTTGATGACCTCCTTATCTACAGGGCAGATTGGCACTGTGTTTAACTCTCTGGGGAGAAAAATTAAAATGGAGCCTAAGTTAGGTGTTTACCTCAACAGCTGTTCCAAGAGCAGCCCCAGCACTCCAGCCCCGGGCAGGCTGCTCCCTGCCTTTGCGCATGCCGGGCCCTCTACCCAGAAGGTGCCCCCTGCACCCCTCCTTCAGAACCTCTCCGGTCTTTCAGTCTGCCTGCAAAACTCCCATCCATCCCCAGGACACAAACACTAAGCCACCGGGACAGAACTAAGTGTCCACTTCTCCTTTTGGGCCACATCTCTCTCCTTCACTAGACTGAGACACGCTAGAAGGCAGACGTCTGGTCCCGGTCCACACTGTATACTTAACTCCTCACCTCTGTGCACGACAGCTCAGTGGAGCAAAGTGCCCGGAACACACAAGGACACATGAATGAATGAGAACATGCTGTAACAAGCCCTTTGCAAAGTCTGGCAGCGTGAAACGACCGCCTTCCTGTCCCTGTAGGATGAGCGCCCAAAGCCCCCTTCTCTTCTCTCCTAGTTTCCTCCCTCAAAATGGCACGACCCAGGTTTTATAGCTGCCCAGGAGCAGATGGCATCCATGGCAGCGAGGTCCCTTCTGGATGCCACAGCACCTTTGTCTCAAGGTTAGGGTGACTCTCACACAGTCACCATGAGAGGCAGGCCCTTCCCCACAGCCAGCTCCCCATGACAGGGTGTACATCTAGGTCTGCTCTCCCGTGAAAAACAGGTGAAATCTGAATTTTAAGAAAAGGTGAGGGGCGGAAAGGGCATTTATTGAAACCTTAAAATCTGTACCCCCATAATATGCCAAAATAAAAAAAATAAAAAAAAACCTATATATAACTCAAAAAAAAAAGAAAGAGAAAAGGTGAGTATCTATGAATTGAGTGGCAAAAAAATAAAAAATAAAAAATGAAGATTCTTCTTCAGACCCTCCCAGACGGGCTCTGAGAGAATCCCTCCTTGTATTCATGATTCTGTGACCAACCACCGCAGCTCCAAAAACCATGGGTACAACTGTGTGGCCACGGCTGGCACTGAGAAGATGCCAGAAAGAGCTCGGGGGCGGTGGCCAGCGGCGCCGGCCCTGCCCGCTCACCTCAGGGACAGGATGCAGTGCTGGCAGAAGCGGTGCCCGCAGCCCGTCTGGTGGGGGTTGTGAAGCACCGAGTGGCAGGAGGCGCACTTGTATCGCTCCTCCAGCTGCTCCACGAAGCGGTACTCTGCATTGGGCTCGAAGTCCAAGGAAATGGAGTTGCCGGAATTCTGGCGGAAGAAACCACAGGCGACGCCTCCTTGCTCCTCTGGATAAGCCATTCTGGGGGGGGGGGTCCAGGGAAGGGAAGGAAAATTAAATGTGCAAGCACCAAAACAACTACAGCCATCTGGTGTTTTAACCATAGTTTCATGATTAGTGAACTTTGTGCACACGGTCATTCTGTTATGACTGTAACGAAAGTGACAACCTCCTGCCACTGGAGGGCTCCTTCCTTGCAAAGGGGTGATGTCTTTGGGGTGCTTGGGTTGGAAGCTGGACCAGATGACTTCTAGCAAGATTCTACAAGACATCAACTCTACAAGCCTTCTACAAGACTTCAACTCTTTGTCCATCAACCTTTTAAAGGTTGTCTGTCTGTCTGGTCACATGCTTGGATTAAATTATCCTGTCTGTCTGGTCACATACTTGGATAAACTATGCCTACATTATAAGCAAACTGTTACAGGTTATTCTTCCACTCCACTGAGAGAACTGAAACAAATATTTGCTTTGTTACAATTTTTCAGAAGCAGGGAACTTGGACACAAATACATTTCTTACACTATACATTGGTCTATCACTGTGACTGCAAAAGAAGGAATGTTTGTTTCCCCACCCCCAGAATTCATATATTGAAATCCTAGCCCCCAATGTGATGATATTAGGAGGTGCAGCCTTTGGGACATAATTAGATCATGAGAGCAGAGCCCTCATGAATGGGATTAATGCCTTTATAAAAGAGGCCAGAGAGTTCCCTTGCCCTCTTGCTGCCATGTTATTGTTACATTTGTTATTATTATATTATTACATGTTATTACTACATATTATCAAAATAATTAGTCTACAACCTGGAAAAGGGACCTCACCAGAACCCCACCATACTGGTACCCTGAGCTCAGACTTTCAGCCTCTAGAATGGTGAGAAATAAATTTCTGTTGTTTACCAGCTACCCAGTCGACGGTACTGTTGTAGCAGCCCAAACTAAGACAAGTCCCAAACCACCTCGTTTCTCACCTGCACTAAATAAGAGCCCGTTAACTGCTTTCTCCTCCGATCCACCTCCATACTATGGCCAGAGTGATATTTTCAAAATGCAAGTATGATTTAAAGTTCCATCCTCTCATCTTTCAGTGGCTTCCCAGAGCTCTGAGGGAAAAGTCCGCAGTGCTAAGCACAGTACCAGACTGTATCCTCCTCCCCCACCAGCATCCTGGACCTGCCTTCCCTCACTTTCTGCTCTCCAGCCACACAGGCTTTCTTTTAGTTCTTCGAATACATCATGCTTCCCCCTGCCACAGGGCCTTTGCATAAGCTGTTGCCTTTGTCTACAGTATGTCTCCATCCCCTTCCAGTCCTCTTCACTTAGTTAACTCATATTCCTGCTTCCAATTTCATTTCAAGCATCATACCCTCAGGTAAGCTTCCTCTTCTCCTGGTCTAACAGCAGAAGGCCTCCCCACCAGTCTGCAAAACATGCAAAGGCCTTCAGAGAGTGGCCAGGCAATATGGGTGGGTGGATTCTTTACTGTGTAATCCTTTTGAAATTTTGGACATGAAAGCATTACCTATTCAACAATAAATAAATATATAAAAATAAAAACAAAAAGGAACCAGGTTCCCTTTCCTTCAGGGCAATACTTGGTTTTGAAATTAGACATATACTTGTGTGATCACTTGATTTATATCTATGTCCCTCAATGACACACAGGTTATATCTGGTCTTGCTCATCAATGTATCCCTGGGCCTTAGCACTGTGCCCAGCATGGAGAACAATTCGGCTATTTGTTGAATTAATGTTATTGAATGCACTTTTGGAAAAGCCCTCAACAGAGCAGCTGCTAATTAGCGTTGGCCTCTAATATAATGATGCTTAACCTTTTGTGAGCAAGGACTTCCCTCTACCTTTGAGAATGTGATGAAAACTCTAGGTCATCTCTCCACTAAATGGCACACATCCCCAATTTCTGGGCATTTCAGGACCTTCTGACTCTACTGCTGCTCCCCTAGTTAAGAACAGCCCAGCCTCCCCAGCAGGAATGCTGTTAACTTGGGGTACAGCAGGGGAAGTGGTGCTTTCAGAGTCTCTGGCAAATGGTTAAGGCCCTCTGGGGTGCTCCCTGGAGATGTCCCTCCCCGTGGCCGGGTATGAGAAGGCCTGGCCTTTATGCACACTTGCTCTGGCTTGCTCTTGAGAGCCCTCCTGGCTCCCTGCAGCTGATGAGGTTGGCCGGGGCTGGGAGCAGCTGCCTGGCCTGACACGCTAGGCGGGGTGCATGGCCACCTCCAACACTCAGCGCTGCTCAGGGCATCTGCTGACCTTTCTCCCCTGGGTGCTCTGCTGGGCCCCTCACTGCTGGAGTGTTCCAAGCCTGGGGTGTGGCTTGTGTCAATGGAGCACAGCAAGCAGCTGGCCTCTTTCAGCAAATAAAAGCTTTCTCCCAGAGAAACCCAGCAGACTAGAGGAATTTTTTTTTTTTTAATTTTTAATCCTGGGGTTGTTTGAGACCAAAGCCCTACCTTTTCCCCTCTGCATGTTTCCTGCAAAACTTCCAGTGTAGCAGGTGAGCAGTGTGAGATAGGAATGTTCCCCTTTTAACATGGTGGATTCTTGGGATTTAATCCTGAAGGTGGAGAGGCACAGCTCTTGATCTACATGCACAGACCTGATAACCGAGACCCACCTTTCTCTCAGAGCACTGGGAGAACCGATTTCAACCTGCCCTCATCTGCCCTGGGTTCTCTAGTCCCAAGAGAGATTGACACTTCATGTCCTGTACCCTTGTGTTACGTACTGTGCCTCTGAGTCTCTCTCCTGAGACCAGGCTCTCATGTGTGTCACGCAGCATCTAAATTTGGACTCTCAGAGATGCACCCCGCAGCCACAGGCTCAGTCAGCCCCCAGAACAAAGCAGTAGGATGCACAAAGCTGAGTTCAGGCTCCCCTCCGCTACGTTCTATGCTCTTCCTAGCACAAGAATCTACTGCACTCAGCTCTATATGTTCATCTTTCTCTACAACAGCAGTTCTCCAGCAGTGTGGTCTCAGGACCCCTCTGTATACTTGCTATGATTTGAATGTTCCAACATTCCTATATTGGAACCTAAGACACAATGTGATAGTGGGGCCTTTAAACCATGAGGGGCTCTGCCCTCATAGATGGGATCAGTACCCTTGCAAAGGGCTCGAGGGAACTAGCTAGGCTCTTTTGCCCTTCCATCGTCTGCCACATGAGGACGCAGGAACATGGCACCATCTTGGTAGCAGAGAGCAAGCCTTCCCCAGACACCAAACCCACTGGCATCTTGATCTTGGACTTCCAAGCCTCCAGAACTATGAGAAATACATGCCTGTTCTCTAACAGTTATCCAGTCTGAGGCATTTTGTTATAGTAGCATAAACAGTCTATGATACCACTCTTAAAAGGGGAGGAGCCAAAGAGCATGAATAGCCAACACAATAATGAAGAAGAACAAAGCTAGAGGACTGACACTACTCAACTTTAAAACTTATTATATTATATTACATGAATTTCAGTTAGGGTAAAAAATAAATAAATAAATAATAAGAAAAAAGATAAAAATAAAAAATAAAATAAAAATAAAACTTATTTTAAGGCTACAGTAATCAAGACAGTATGGTATTGCCAAAAGAACAGACAGATCCATGGAACAGAGGAGAGAACCCAGAAAGAGTTCCATATAAATATATTTAACTGACTTTTGACAAAGGCACACAATGACACAAAGAGAGTCTTTTTAACAAATGGTGTTGGAACAACTGGACATCCACATGCAAGAAAAAAAATGAAGCTAGATACAGACCTTATATCCTTCACAAAAAATTAACTAAAAATGGATTACAGATATAAATGGAAAATGCAAAACTATAAAAGTCTTAGAAGATAATATGGGAGAAAATCTAGATGATCTTACAATTTTGCTGTGAACCTAAAACTGTTCTAAAATATATTTTTTAATTGAGGAACCCAAAGAGTTTTTGTTTATGTAGGTTATTGATCTTTACCATATTTGAGATTAAAATCAAGGAATTTTTTATTTGTTTGTTTGTTTTTAGTGCTAAGGAAGGAAAAAATTGTGGAATTTTAAAAATATTTCTTTATTAGGCCCGGCGCAGTGGCTCACACCTGTAATCCCAGCACTTTGGGAGGCCAAGGTGAGAGTATCGCTTGAGGCCAAAAATTCGAGACCAGCCAGGGAAACATAGCAAGACCCTATCTCTAAAAAAAAAAAAAAAAAAATTAGCCACATATGGTGGCACACACCTGTAGTCTCAGCTACTGGGGAGGCTGAGATGGGAGGATTGCTTGAGCCCAGGAGTTAGAGGCTACAGTGAGCTATGATCATACAACTGGCAACCCAGCCCAGGTGACAGAGCATGAAACCCTGTCTCTCTAAAAGAAAAAACTCTTTATTAATTTACTTTAATAAGCCAATTATGTGTTAAACCAAACAATATTTTCATGATAAACAGCCATTTTAAAAAAAAAATTAGTGAGAAGAGAGACATCATTTTACATTTTTGCGTATCTCTTTAATGTCTTGCTTAATAGAAGACAGCCAGATTCTCATATCTGGTGCTGCATTCAGTCTGTTGTATATCACACATCATGCAGCTTCTGGAAAACACCTCTGTGCATTCGTGAAAGGAAGAGTAAAAATGGCAGATGATGTCTTAGTACTACTACGAAAATAGTTTTGGCCATGCAGATCCCCTGAAAGGGTGGCCAGGGAGCCCCAGGCGGCCCTGTGCTAGTAAATGTTTAACAATCTCAACTGGGGAAGAGCTCCAGTTTGTAGCAGCTGCCGATTTCTGTGGTTAAATACCCCCACAACGGCTAATTTCTGGTTACCAATGCAAGAGGTCACTGAACTCAAGTTGTGAAGAGAAACACACAATTGGCTCTCACCTGAACCTACCTGAACTAAGTAAAAGCCTATTAAGGGCTTTCCCAGCAAAAGCCACGCCAGCACCCCAGGGGCCCTGCTCTGTTGGGCTGCTGTGTGGGCCTGTGCCTTGTCAGCTTTGCAATGGCAGGCC